CATGAAGGCTTCCATTTGTCCAATGCAGAGCATACTTAAAACAAAACAAAACAAAAAAACTCTAGGCCAGGCAAGGTGGCTCATGCCTGTAATCCCAGCACTCTGGGAGACTGAGGTGGGTGGAATGTCTGAGTTCATGAGTTCCAGACCAGCGTGAGCAAGAGACCCTATCTCTAAAAAAATTGAGCAGTGCCTGTGGCTCAGTGAGTAGGGCACCAGCCCCATATACCGAGGGTGGCAGGTTTGAACCCAGTCCCAGCCGAACTGCAAAAACAACAAAATAATAATAACTGAGCATTGTGGCCGGCACCTGTAGTCCCAGCTACTCAGGAGGCTGAGGCAAGGGGATCACTTGAGCCCAAGAGTTTGAGGTTGCTGTGAGCTATGAAACCATGGCACTCTACCAAGGGCGACAAAATGAGATTCTGTCTCAACAAACAAACAATAACAAAAAAACCCTTTTATGCCCACATCAAATAATTGATCACTTTCTAAACCATGTACCCCTTGCCTCCTACATATTTCTTGTTTTGTTCAACATTTTAATATGAGCATTTCCAAACACACAGAAAAGCTGAAGGATTTTACAATAAACACCCTTACACCAGCCACCTAGATTCCACCATTAACATTTTGCTATATCTGCTTTACCACCTTTCTGCCTATCTGTCCTTCTTGCCATCCATCCATCGCTCCAGCTTATGTTTGGATACAGTTCAACGAAAGTTGCAGATATCAGTATACTGTCAGCCCCCTCACAGTCAGGGGACTTTCTGTTTACTGTTCTTTATTTTCTATCTTGAGGTAAAATTTACATATAATAAGATGCACAGATCTTAACAGCGCCATTCATTCTGAGTTTGGATCCATGCTATACCTGTGTACCCCAAACTCGTGTCAAGACAGAACCATTTTCCTATCTTTTTCCACCACACCTGTCCTGGAACATCATTTAAATGAAATCACATGGTATATTCTTTGCTGTGTCTGCCTTCTTCTTCTTCTTTTTTTTAGACAGAGTCTTTCTATGTTGCCCTTGGTAGAGCGCTATGGTGTCACAGCTCACAGCAACCTCAAACTCTTGGGCTTAAGCAATTCTCT